TATCACTTTAACTTTCTTTCCAACCATCTCAATGTAAGAGTTAACTAATAAAGTAAATGTCACTGCCCCTTCTCCCTCCCTCCGGAAAACAAGGTTAAGGTTTACGAGTTTGGGAAGCACAACAAGAGCTCTTAAACTGGCTTGCCTTTTTTGGTCACAGGCTAGATGCAAAAGTTCAGTTATTGTAGACATGTCATCTCTACAATGGAGTTTGGCTAAGTACTCCAAAAAAAATATCATCTTTCAACTCTGATTTTACATCAATATGTTTTAATCATCTTTAGTATCCCAAGAGATTACTGCACCAGCCCATGTGAAACTTAATTGTACTAGACATCCACCCATTACTGAAGTTCATAATTGCATGCAAGTTCATAAAATTTTCATAACTGCAGAGAGCAATAATGTTTCTTGTGAATAAATTAATAACTAGACCTCAATTTTCAAAATATAATTTACCTTGTGGTCGAACTCAGCTCGATCTGCAGCCCTCATATCACTGTGGAGTACTAGATCAATTGTCCTTGTGCTTTCCTTCACAGGAGGCTTCACCAGGCACTAAAATATATATAAACCTTTTTCTATCAACAGAATTCTATAACCTAAACTATACAATCTGCATAGAAGCAGTGAAGCACATGGGAAAAGGTTTTCATATAGCAGTTGATTAAATGCTCAAATGACCCTACTAAAATATGAAATTAAACTTGACATTTTACAATCCACTATATTGGAATCTACCTCTGGCTCATCTGTCGTCCATGGAAGGCCTTGTGCAATTGGAATACGGGACTTCTTATCCTCCTCCTCCATCTGCTTCAGCTTGTTGATAAATTCTTTCTCCTTGGACTTTCCCCTTTGCTGCAAAGGAGTCAAGTACATTTAGTTTACCTTAAAGACCTTTGAAGCATTTCCACTTAATAACAACTTTAAATGTGAATGAAGACAAAGTTTTATCTTTTAGCGCAATACTTCTAACTAAGTGATACCAACCTCAGTTCTAAGATTGAATGGTTTCTGGGAGGTTGCTCTGGGCAGCCTTCTCTTCAGGAACCTTTTAGTGCAAACCCCAGATGATTCAGCACTCTAGAGAGTTTAAATACAAATAGAATACAGATGAAGGATTAGTGAATACCATGACAAGCCCTCTTTCATTCAAAGTGAAGGGTAATCTCAAGATCCTTATTGTAACTTACATTACTTCTAGTATTGATTCCTCCAACAAGAGTCCTGCTTGAAATTCGTACATGTGACAAAAAGCTTTCATTAGAATTTGAATCAGAAGTTAGATGGTGATACAATCAACAAATTAGCTGCCACTAACCCTTGGCTATCAAGTGAAAGTGAGCGGTGCGAATGCAACAAGCCAAGACTTTCAGAACTGATGGCACAATCTGACAATTCCAATTTCATCCCCTTCTCAATTTCCTCGCCTTCATTCTCATGCTTTTTCTCAGTATCTCGTGGCTTATGAATGGTAAAAAGCTCTTCAAAAGCCTTCACCAAGTGCATCACATTTCCATAAGCTGGTTGAGTGTCATTCTCCCTAGCATCTCCTAACACCTTGTCCCTCCTTCTCTTGACACACATTTCGCCGCTCATCTTGCCTTCATTCAACTCCAGATTAGTCGATGAAAAATCATCTGATTTTACTTTTCCTCCCTTCTCTTCCTCGTCTTTGCTTCCTATTTCGTTTTCAATGCGCATCTCCAACTCCTCCAGAACACTTTCCTCGCCATTAATTCCTCGGCGACTTTTAAAGAACTCCTCTCGTGAAGCCCTCAGAGATGCATAAGCAACACATGAACACTTCTTTCCCCCGCCCTTTCCACACTTACACACGACTGATTCTGTTTTCGCAGAGTCCGTCGCCGCCTTTGTCGAATTGCGCTTCGCCACCACGAACTTCCTCTGTCGAATCTTCTTCTGTGACGAAGGAGAAGCCATCGGATTGGGGGTTTTCGAAGCCGATATTGGGGATTTCTTCGCTGATTTTGCCATGGATGGAGAATTCGCGTGTTTTGAACTGGAGCTTGAGATATTGGGATCAACATTTTCAGTAACCCTGGAGCAATGTGAAGAGACTCCAGAGGATTTGCTGCTCGACTCCATGGATATATTTCCGCCCGCTAACGTTGATCCCAAAAGAAAGGGCTCTAACTTCAAATGATTGCCTGATTCTGGAATTCCAAGAGAAGAGGAAAAAGCTAACGGCTACTTCTTCGATTCTTCCGAATTCCGTTGGGGTGCTTCTCCTCCTCAGTTGCTACGTCCTACGAGGCTACGACTCCTACCGTTTACTTTTAAACATCTTACCGTTTTAAACACTTCTCTCTCTTTAGTCTTTACAATAAACAAATAAATATTCCATTATAGGGTGTTTGGATCTGATTCTCAAAACTGATTCTGCTCCTTCAGGGAGCAGAAGCACAAGCTGGAGTGTTTGGCTGAAATTCTAGAAGCACTTCTGGTGCTCCAATTTACTCTTAGAATCAATTTTTTTAGAAGCTGGTAGGTACCAGCTTCTGAAAACTGATTCTGATTCTGCTTCTGCTTTAAAAAAAAGCAGAAGCAGAATCAGTTCCAAACACCCCCTAACTTCTGCTTCTGTTTCTGCTTCTGCTTCTGCTTCTTCTTTGACTACATTTTTTACTAATACAAAATTAAATATAATGACGTTTAAAGTTGTGCATTGACAAACGTGAAAAAGTGAATGTTTCAAGTAAAAAAGAACGGATGAAGTATTTTTTTGGGAAAATTGTCAAATAGGTCCTCGAACTTTAATAAAAAAAATCAAATAAGTCCTTACATAGGAGGTTCTGTCCGGGCGTTGGCCCGTCGCGATTTGGAGCGGTTCCCGGCGGAATTTTTTAATGAAATTTTTTGAGCATCTTATTCATGAAGTTTAATTTACTTATACCGGATTTCAGCTAAAACTTCAATCAGAAACACATTCAAATTAATTCTTGAAGATGTATTGCGCATTTAACTGTACAGTTATCTTCGAGAATTAATTTGAACGCGTTCCCGATTGAAATTTTAGCTGAAATTTGGTATGAGTAAATTAGACTTGATGAATAAGATGCTCAAAAATTTTCATCAAAAAAATTCCACCGGAACCGTCCCAAATCGCGTTCAGTTAGGGCTTGGAAGTTTCTTTTAGTTTTTTGCATGTTTTAATTTTTATGTTTTTGTTCAGTACTTCATTTTTTTTTTCTCGTCGAAACTGGCTATAAATAGATAATGTTTTTATATGGGTTAGGATTGCTAGAGGAAGTAATCAGGCTAATTTGAACGATAATCGCTTTGAACCTCTCGCATGTTCAGCAATTATTCTTGCTCGTTTTTTGACTGTTTATTCTATGTCTAATCAGGGAGTGAGAAGATGTTTTATTATAATCAGTCTAGATGAAGAGTGACTAGAGTGGGGGCAAACAACAAACATGATGAATGGTTAGCTTATTCTATGATTTTAATATAAGTGTTTTTCTCTTTTTAAAAAGTGCTATATTGAGATTGTGAGCTACTTATCCTATTAAAATTTTAAAATAAAATGATATATTAAGATGGAACCTAAAATTTCAATGTAACACTTTATTAATTATGAAGTCTTAACAATCTTAAATCAGTATAGAATAAGGATAGTCTACGATACACTTGAAATTTCATCTATTCTATAATAGTTGCAACATTGACATTTTTGCATTATTCGCACACCTAACTTTGATCATGATTTTTATTAATATATACTACCTCCGTCTCCGAAAAGGTTCACCATATTTATTTTTTTTGGTCAATGATGACAAACTTTGGACAATGATTTTAATTATTATATGTGTATACAATTAATAAGTTTTATGCTTTTATGAAAGTATTTTGAATAAGAAACATTTTGATATAATTTTTGTATTCTAAATAATTTCGTACTCCCCCCGTCCCAATTTGTAAGATACTTTACGGTTTACGATGTTTGATCGACGATAAAGCAAATTGATCTCTGTTAACACTCAAATTAGTTTTAGAAAATTAAATTTACATATTCAGAAATTACATTAAAACCTCTACAAAACCTGCAAAAAATAATTCAAATTTCATAAACTTTTGATATACAAAATAAAAGATCAAGAGTGATTTATGTTGACCAAGAATATAGTAAATGTATCTTACAATTTGGGACTGAGGGAGTATTAAAAAATATCATTGGCCAAAGTTGATCGTCATTGTAACACCTGGTCCTTCAGGACTCGAGGTAGTTAATTACTTCAGACCTCTAGTACTGTCATCATAAACCATCACGAGTCTTTATCACACACTTTGTCCCAACTCATGCAAACCCTGAGAAACTTCTCAGGGGTCACTCATCCCAAAATTACTCTCATGCAAGCACACTTAATTTTGGAGTTGTTGGGTGATGAGCTCCATTAAAAGAAGATGCACCTTGTTGGTATGAGTAGTACTATTAATTTTGTTAAATTAATCTCGAGTATTATAGTCATTGACCAAGAAAAGACATTTTAACGAATCTTTTCGGTACATGGGGAGCATGACAAATATAAACCACTTTGTATTATGTTTATTAATATGTAATTAAATATAATTAAATTCAAAATTGTGTTTGTTCATACTCTCTTCGTTCTTGATTTATAGTTCTCTTTTACTAATAGGACTATCCTCTTAGATTTATTGTGATTTTTAAGGAAATACTAGGGGTAATATAGATGTGTATGGTAAATGAATGTATTAAGAAAAGTAAAGTAAATAGGAAAGAGAAAGTAATACTACGTATGTAATAAAAATAGAAGTATAAAAATATATTGATTGAAAAAATTTACTACAAAAAAAAAGAGATAATTATTTAAAAACATCCCAAAAATAGTTTTAGAGAACAGAGGAGGGAGTACAAGGAGCAGAGAAGGGAAAAATTAAAGAGTTAAACAATAAGAAGGGGTATTAGGGAGAAATAAACATATTTAATTTAAGCTTTTTTTTTTTTTGATGATATTTAATTTAAGCTTTTATAAAGCTGTAATGGTAGCCATTCCTAGATCTGTAACGAGTAACGACCCTATAAGGTCGTCCCCGCCATTGTAGCTTTTCATTCTAATTTAGTGACTCTTCTACCTCTGTCTCTCCCTCACGCTCTTGCATCCTCGCAACGCCCACCCAGCCATCTTAGAGGTGAAATCCTTCTTCCTCTTCTTTTCTGTATGTTTTTCCTGCTTCATTGCATATGCCCGTCGCATGCTCATAGATCTTAGCTGTGGAAATTTGAACGGAAATGATCGAAGCGGTTCTCTTTTGCGTCAAAACCATCACTTTTTGTAAATTATGTTTGTTTACAGTTCCGGGTTGCTGATCTCCTTTCTGTATTCCGTGATCCATGTTGTGTTTCTTGTATTTTGCTAGACGTCCATGCATAGTGTTCGATCCGGAACCTTTTCTGGCATTCCTTGGTTGACATTGAATTCGAAAGCAATGAAGTTTAGATCTGGCCGGGACTTGTGCATGATTGCAATGTCTTTAGACTCTTAGGACGACTCTTCACTCGTTATTTCTTTGGGGAGCGGATGAAGCTTTTGTATGCTTGTGAAGGAAGCTCGGATCCTTAGCTCCTGTTTTCTCTCTAAACAGATTTTAACTTCTTTTATGTTACCATGAATCTGTTACAATACCCTCAATGGAGCAATTTTGGCAGAAACTGTCATGAAATATCTGCAATTTTCATTTCAATCATCTGGAATTGTTGGTTTTTAGAAAAATTAGGGAGACATCCTTCCTCATTTATTCTAGATAATGAATTCTTAGATGAGATATAAAATTTTCATCAGGAACATTTAAAACTCTATTAGCACTAAGCTTAGTGCCTAACCCGAATTTCTTTTAGGACTACAAAGATTAATTAATGATCCCTCACCCTAAAATAAGTTTTCTTTGCAGTAATATTGATTTATATCCTTAGTATTACAAACATGGCTCCTTTTTGTATTTGGGGCGACGGTATTAGATGCTTTGGTGACCATCATGACCTTTCTGGCCAAATATTCTATTAAAGCAAGCTAGCCTTTTCCTAAACTCCGCCTATCTTCCTTGATTAACAAAGCTTATAAAGTGTTTCTTAGTTTTATAGACTTGCAGCGTTGTATGGACTATGATTCTGTTAATCAAGGAGGATAGGCGGAGTTTAGGAAAAGGCTAGCTTGCTTCAATAGAACATTTGGCCAGAAAGGTCATAATGGTCACCGTAATCTGTTTAGTAGCCGTAATCTGTGTATTCTTATTATCAAAATAATAGGCAGGATAGACAAAAGGCTAAGAGCCCGTGTGATAAGGATTGTTCAACTGAAATGATTAAATGTCCTGAATTTTGTGAAAATAAAAATATTTTAGAAATTTCAAATCATCGAAATGAATTCAGAAATTTTAAAGCTACTTATTCTGATTATCCAGCTAATCAGCCGAATAAGTCGATTAATTTCCAACAATGAGGGCTTGAGTACCTTTTGACTCGCATGATGAAGCACAAGTTGTCAAACGTATTTGTTATTCAGAGAATTTCACATACTGTGTCAATAACCCTTATCGAACAGGCCCTATAATTTTTAACCAGATCAAGTAACTTAGCTTCTCAAGATATAAAGCTTGCACCATTTTTTTTAAACATCATGTATCATTCACCTTGATTACAAAGCTTATTAACGTTCCATAGTTGTGTATAGACTTGCAACATCATTGGATTATATTAAAGAAAATTAATTAAATTTGCAGAGAATCAAAATGGTGAAGATATGCTGCATTGGTGCTGGTTATGTAGGGGGGCCCACCATGGCCGTGATAGCATACAAGTGCCCTGACATTGAAGTAGCAGTTGTTGACATTTCAATGCAGCGGATCAGTGCATGGAACAGTGATCAGCTCCCCATATATGAGCCGGGCCTTGATGATGTAGTCAAAGGGTGCAGAGGAAGGAACCTCTTCTTCAGCACAGAGGTAGAGAAGCACGTGTGTGAGGCCGATATCGTCTTTGTCTCTGTCAACACTCCTACCAAGACGCGTGGTCTCGGGGCTGGCAAAGCTGCAGATTTGACGTATTGGGAAAGTGCGGCTCGCATGATCGCTGACGTCTCAAAGTCTGATAAAATAGTTGTTGAGAAATCGACAGTACCAGTTAAAACAGCCGAGGCCATTGAAAAAATCTTGACTCATAATAGCAAGGGGATTAAGTTCCAGATCCTCTCCAATCCCGAGTTTCTTGCTGAAGGTACTACTTTTATGGATATAGCTGAGTTTTAACTTCCAACTTCATGATTTATAAAGTCCAGATATTTAAATTACAGAACTGCAAACCAACCAAGTAACTTTAATCAGTTTGGCTCTAAAGTCATTTTTCTGCCGGTTTTGGTTGGTGTTAGTTGGGTTCGGTTATTTTTTCATTTTTAAGACATTACAAGCACAATGTCTATATTGAGTAATAGTGGGCCTAACCCCATTAGGAATTATTAATAGGAAGCCTAAACCATTTAGGAACGCTTATATAGAGGAATCATGTGCCTAATCCGCCACTGGAAATCATATACTCACTCCGTCCTAAAATGTGACACATTTGGATCCATCACAGCTTTTAAGAAAATAAAGGAGATAGAGTGGTGGACTGGGAGTCCTCCCCAAAAGTAGACGGTAAGATGATAGACAAAAGGATATAGCAGGAATGTATTAAGTTTAGTGGAACTCAAAGTATGAATGCATTCATTTTTTGGGTCAGAAAAGAAGAACGTTATCCTACAAAATATGACAGGGAGAGTAAAATATACTCTACTGAAACGATCACCAGTATATTTCTATAATTCTTACACTTTATACTTTCACAGGTACTGCTATTGAGGACCTATTCCATCCTGACAGGGTACTCATTGGAGGTCGGGAGACCCCAGAAGGGAATAAGGCAGTCCAGACACTCAAGGATGTCTACGCCAACTGGGTTCCAGAAGAACGCATCATCACAACCAATTTATGGTCTGCTGAGCTGTCAAAGCTAGCAGCCAATGCATTCTTGGCGCAAAGAATATCCTCAGTAAACGCAATGTCAGCTCTGTGTGAGGCGACCGGTGCGGATGTTTCCCAGGTGTCATACGCTGTCGGTAAGGACACGAGGATCGGTCCCAAGTTCCTCAACTCCAGCGTCGGGTTTGGCGGCTCTTGCTTCCAGAAGGACATCCTCAACCTTGTCTACATCTGCGAGTGCAATGGTCTGCCCGAAGTGGCCGAGTACTGGAAACAGGTCATCAAGATCAATGACTACCAGAAGAGCCGTTTCGTGAACCGAGTTGTCTCGTCCATGTTTAACACTGTCTCGAACAAGAAGATTGCCATCTTAGGTTTTGCTTTCAAGAAGGACACTGGGGACACACGTGAGACGCCTGCAATTGATGTCTGCAAAGGGCTTTTGGGAGATAAGGCCCAGTTAAGCATATATGATCCTCAGGTGAGTGAGGAACAGATCCAGAGAGACCTGACGCTGAACAGGTTTGAGTGGGACCACCCGCTGCATCTCCAGCCAGCTAGTCCGGGTGCAGGGAAGAAGGTCAGCGTTGTTTGGGATGCTTATGAGGCGATGAAAGGGGCCCATGCTGTGTGCATTCTCACGGAGTGGGATGAGTTCAAGGATCTGGACTACCAGAGGATATATGAGAACATGCAGAAGCCTGCTTTTGTGTTTGATGGTAGGAACATTGTGAACGCCGGAAAGCTGAGAGAGATTGGGTTTATTGTGTACTCAATCGGTAAGCCTCTTGATGCTTGGATCAAGGACTTGCCTGCTGTTGCTTAGATACACACATTGCTGCTGCACTTTTTCTGTTTTGTTTTCCTACATTTCATTTGCTTCAAATCTCATTGTTTATTTTTTACTTCATCTTTTGGCTTCTGTCTAGTTGGCTTTTCACGGGCCCATTTTTTAGTTCGATTTTTGAAAAAGGCCATAAGTTTTACACCTGTAATTGTTATTCTATTACTGACGTATTCATAGAACTATCTGATGTAAATTCAGCCATGTCTGAATGAAGACAAGAGTAATAAAAAACTGTTTGTTGGCACGTCGCACAGGTTAGTGTAGCTTCATCATCATCATATTATTATTATATTTATTATTATTATTATTGTTATTGTTATTATTGTTGTTGAAGTTGCAACTATAAATCAAACAAGTTGTAATATAATCATTCAAATCTTAACCTCAAAAGAGTTCATCGACTAACTCACTAACATGAATGAAACGGCATATGAAATCATAGATTCATAGCAAAACTAAATTGTAATGACTAATGAAAACTTTTTTATTAAATTGCTTAATGGAAATGAGACTAGTTTAAACTTTAAACGAGTAAACTCCTCTTTTCTTAAATTATTTGCTTCTTTATTTTTTTGTCTGTTCTTATTTACTAATTTTCCTGAAACAGTCTTTGTGTTTTAGTACAAGGATAAAACTGCGTACATCCGACTCCCCCCCCCTACGGTACCGTAGGTGGGGAGCCTTTGCGCAGTGGGGTATGGGTGGACTCGGGCCGGGCCTAGGCCCGGTCGGGCCTCCAGTTCAGGAATGGGGGGCCCGGAACCGACCCGGGTAATCCCCGGTTCCGGGCCGGGCCAGGCCTCGGCCCTCGGGCCTTAGTTAATTTTTTTTCTCTTTTCCTAGTTAACCCCCAACCTTCCCCCTCACCCCCAAACCACCCCAAATGGCCCAAAATACCCAGCCCAACCCAAAAAGTAAAAAAAAAATGGAAAAAAAAAAATTAGAAAGGCCCGGACTGGCCGGGCCAGTTCGTGATTTGGGGGGCCCGAGCCCGGACCGGTCACTGACCGGGCCACCGGGCCAGGTCGGGCCACCCGGCCCGAGTCCACCCCTACACTGGGGTAAATGAAAATGAATGCTCTTATTTACTAATTCATCTCTCTATTTACCATTGAGGTAAGAATACTAGCACTAATATTGTTTCTTTCATTTGTAGAAAAATCTCAAATAAATTTATAAGCGACATAGGAAGTACATTTATCAGTAATTTATATAGTTCAACTACTTCAACAGTTTATTTCAAAAAAAAAAAACTACTTCAACAGTTCAACAAGATACAAGTATATAACCATTACCTTAAAAAACAAGATGAAACCATGGTTTTAGCAAAAACAACCAGGCTCACCAGTTGCCATTTGGTGAAAAGTCGGGCTTAAAAGGCTAATAAGCAGAAAAGAAAACAACCCAACGGGCAAGACACAAGTGATGAATGTATATCGAAAATTGATAATTAATGATTAAACTAGGACAAAGTGCCCTTAATCAAGGATTACAACAAAGTACATTTAGTAAAAAGAGCAAGATGATTTATTAGATGATGATAGTACAGTATCTTGCTCCTCCTACATATACATAAAACTAGTTACATAATGGGAGGCTTTAACAGGAGATAGCTGACACAATATGCCGCTCGCTCGGAAAATTGTTTCCCCTCTAAGGAAATACAACTGGCTGGATGTTCCATATGTCCTTGGCGTATTCATGAATCGTTCGATCACTGCTAAATTTGTAACTCCCAGCTGTATTCATGATTGACATTCTAGTCCATCTCTGCAACAAGTTCGTCATTTCAATACAAAAGTCAATTATAAAAATTCTAAAGGTCAAAATACCTTCAAGTATTCAACTCACGCAACGGCACTCAAAATGAGAAGAAACATTAAAAAAAACATCTTGAAATGTGATTCCATTATGAAAATTCCACTGATCGGAGTAGTCAAAAGCATTATTAGATCATTTGTATTTTACATGGAGGTGGAACAAATATACCCTTGAAAATCACTGACCTTTTGATCGCGATATGCCTCATCAACCTTCTCTTGGCATTCTATGTAGCTGGGGAAGTCCTTTCCTACAAGGAAATAGTCTGCACGGCCGAAGCCTTCGTTTCCCTCCAACGATCCAATAAGCTCATCATAGTTATTTGCGCCAAAAGCGCCACTCCTTATGAATTCCTTAACTTCTTCAAATCGCTCATCGGGTACAAACTGCATTACAGGGTAAGCACATTAGTTTTGGTAGCATGCACTCCAGGTGTAAAGTACTTAACAAAAGTAGAGAATACTTCTGTATGTATCTTAGAAATTAATCTTACATGTGTACTTCATATTTAATAATAATAACAATAGTAATGGTAATAATTATAATATTAATATAATAGTGGTAGTAATAATAATTATAATAATAAGATAATCAATATAAATGAGGGCAGTTTCACAAATTGAACAAAACAAAACATGAGTGGGATACCGGTGTTATGAAAACTACTCCGTATTAAACTAACACCCCCTCTCTCTGTGTGCCACCCCCTCCTTAAATAATACAGCATATTTGAAATTTTATTATTTCATACAAGAATTTGCTCTGTTCGTCTTAATACTCTGTATTACATATTGCTTTGCTTATTTTATTCAGATAAGAAAATTTTAGATTTGACCGGATCGAGAAGATTCACATCGCATGAGAAAAGTTCAGGTCAATTTAGATGAGAAAAGTTTAAACATGATTAATGTTATTATTATTGTTGTTGTTGTTTATTAATCATCTATTATTACTACTATCATTACTATTATTCGACGCTATTATTATACTCCCTCCGATCCTAAATAAAGTTCCCACTTTCCGTTTTGACTTTTGGGCAGGTCCAAAATAAAGTTCTCACTTCTATTTTTGGCAAGTTTTTAATATAATGTTACCCTTATACTCTTACTTTATTTAGCTACTTCACAGTTCACACCCATTTCCTCTCTCCCACTACACCTAATCTACTTTTTGTAAGGGTATAATGGGAAAGCAAAGGCAAAAATTCAACTTTCTTAAAAGCCGAAATGTCAAACTAGGAACCTTATTTAGGACCGGTGGGACTAAGATACAACCGTAGGTTGCTGCTATAATTATTAATAATAATATTACTTCATATTACTATTACACCATATTATTATTATTAAGATTAGTATTTGTATGTTGTTATTAGTATAAAACCGTAGGTTTAGGCTGTTTATTTTATTAGTATTATCATAATAACTATAATCATTATTAGTATTACTAGTATCCTTATTAATACTATAGTTGGTTGCTATCGTTATCTTATTATACAAACAATAATAATAAAAATAAAAATAATAATAATAATAGTAATAATGGTAATAATATGTATTGATGTTAAACTTAGATCAGAACGTATTAGAATCGGATCAGAAACATTCAAGTATGAAAGATTCATATTAGATCTAAACAAATCTTAGAAAATTCAGATAAAAAACATTGAGATTCAGATTAGACAAAGAGAACAACTTCAAAGAGTCTTATTCTGTACACTTAAAACAACAATATGATCTCATTTTCATTATATTTAATGTATTTTTCCAAATTAATAGTCTCTCAAATAGGTTGGTGTGTTTAACTTGGTCAACTCAACTTGTAAATTTCAAAGCATATCTAGAAATATGATTTCCAATAGTTCCACACTTGCAGCTCGCTAGAATAAATTATACATTCGTGAATTATGACTCTTTTTGCAATGGGGGGGGTGTGGAAGGTTTTACCTTTCCCTCAGCTCTTTCTTTCCGAAGCCCTGCAATTTCATGAGCTTCAGCCCCAAAGAGAAAGAAGTTCTCCTCACCAACCTCTTGCCTTATCTCAACGTTTGCCCCATCCAAAGTCCCAATTATGATACAACCGTTCATGGAAAACTTCATGTTGCTGGTTCCACTGGCCTCCATACCAGCAGTACTGCATATATATGGCAAGACAGGATATAGTTAAGATATATCTCTACCTACAGCTGACACCCATAAAATAAATCATATTTATGTGCATAGTATCCCATAGTTCACAAGTTGCTCAAGCTTTTCAGTTTTTGTTATACCTACATACACAATGAAATTGTGGAGAAAAGTGAACTAGCACTAGACTCACCCTTCGGTGGATCAAGTGACTAGTAGCTATTGCTGCAGAAGCAGTAAGTCAGTAACAATGCTATTGGAGTCTTCGTCTTCACAGGATTACTGAACCAAAATGTTCTCTCTAGATCTTCCGTTTCTATGATACATCCCCTTTTAGCCTTGAACTGAAAAAATCATTACTGTACTTGTTTTCATTTATGAATTAGGTTTGTGCTTTCTAAAAAAAAGTTTTAGCGACAAATCTAAAGGATAGCTTTGGAAAACTTTTATCATAAACCCATCCTTAACCCTTTCCCTAATCCCTACCCATGTCATTGTCTATCCAATATTGAATCAAAATCGAGAAAGATCAGTGTTAGTGCGCGGATCTTGTTGGTTTGTGACTTTAATTGTCCTCTCTCTCCTACCTTTCACAAACTCTAATTGTTGCTGATAACTACCATGAAAAATAATAAATAATACGAGTATAAAATACTGGGGCTAATGGAAAAGCAGCCAAGCTGGAAGACCTGATATGTTGTGAAAGCTCACTAGCAGGAATCAGCATTTCAGCAACAGTGACATTGTAATCAGGGACAAAAATAACCTATAAAGAATAATACAATAAATTTTAAGTTCTGAAAATCACTGAGGTGTCAGGTTAAGCTGCTGAGAAACATGTCTGGAGTACTATAGATACAAGTCATATAACCAAAATGACAAATCAAAATATATTCATCACCAATTCATACCTTCAGTAGATCACCTATTTCAGGATCGTGATTTATGGTGGCTCCAACATCTGTTATGAATTTCACAATCCTTTTAGCTTGCACATATGTGGCAAAAGCTTTTCCTCCAAATATGCACACCCGAGGAACAAACTTTGCTTCTCTTTCTGCAGCACTCATTTCTTTCATCTGCTTGTATCGGTAAACAATTCCCAAGATATTCAAGAGTTGCCTCTTGTATTCATGAATGCGTTTTACCTGAAGTGTTTTACTGTTAGTTCAAATGTAGTAATGAACGGCATCTCAGTTAACAATTTCGAATCAACCAAATTTTGTGGACGCCTTTCTAGGACGCATGTATCAGCGGCGTCGTAAAAATAATTCAGACGTAAATGAAGGGGAGGAAAAACTAAACATAACATGTGTTAGCCAGCAGAGTGGCTGAGAAGCTGCCTGGCAAGTCTGGCAGCTGGCAGTCAATCAATTATGACAGCTGGGTTA